ATGAGGCAGTGAATGGGTGAACGAGCGCAATACGAAAGCCCGGAAACGGCTTTAACGTCCGGGAGGGGAGGGGGGGGGCGGCGCGACGAGGACACGTAAGGATGCGCCCTTAGGTATTCCCTGCGCAAAAACTTCCTATGTGTACGCGTATAACAATACGAAACTGTTCGTGTAACAGCTACCGAGCGTTGCCGGGCAAAATTATGGGTCGGCGAAGATCGGGAAGAGTATGCGGGATTGGCAAAACCTCCCGTTTGATGTAGTCTCCAACAAAATTCCGATGAGGCGAACTGTTCCAGGCGAGAAAGTGCAAGTGCCCGTAGCTATCCTAATTAGCGCGATCACCGCTGGCATTTAATTAACCGCCCACGATGGTGGTATTCACAAATTTCGCGACGGAGCGACACCGCTCGATATTCCTTTTGCTAGGTTTTACTGCAATACGAATGATTATGATCTCCTTGACAGGAGATTATCTCGATTTACACATCCATTTGCAACTTGTAGCAAAAGTAAAAATAAGTGTTTTATAATTGTTTACGTGGACCGTAGTAAATGTCTGAGATTATCCGTTATTTATCATTTAGCGATTATGTTTACATGACGGAAGAATCCGATCGAGTCTCATTAATTATGCGCATTAATGTATGATTTATCAGCTGATTATCATGAAAAAAACGGTTATTGATAACCGACAAAATCTTAATACTACATCCATCTAATGGTGAATGTGTCGTCTACTTGTAAGATGAAATGTCTATTCATTAGAATTTAATTGGGATTAATTTCGATTTAATCGCTGTAGCTTCCACTGCATCTATACGAATAATAATTATTACGTTGTATAATACATAGTACGGGTAATGCATATTTTTACGATTCTTCTTGCCGTTAGAAGATAGAAATAATTAAAAAATATTCTTATGCACAACGATATAAACGGCACGTGACATTTTTTAATCAATACGACAATTATTTCGTTACGTAACAAGCTGCCAATTGCGAAACTTCATATTTTTCACTATTTCGGTGATGCGCATTTCGAAATGTTCGCCTTTATATTATTGAACAATCGGAATGTGTAATTCGCGTACAACTCATCGAGAGATGAATTTAAATTTAATATCAAATATGAAATATAAAATAAATAAAATATAAATTTATTAATATATAAATATACATATTAATATTACATATAAAATAGACTTTAGATTTAAACATAAAGATCTTATTTATTTTGATTCCATATATTGTTATTGCGAAAACTACGTGTATTGACAAATAGCACGATAATTACACTGAATGCTCTAAGATAATTGCCTTTCCTTTTAACACAGTACATTTTCTGATGAACTCAGAGTTGATTTCTTCTTAGCGAAAATTCTACCTTCTCTTTCATTTATAGTTTTCTCACTTCGAACTTTAATTACAGTTATTTGTTGTAGCTGCAATCTATTATTATTAATACATTAATAATAGCTTATTTATAAATTTTAATCATTTTATATTAATGAACTAATTGAAATATTAATATTAGAAATGTAAAATACATGTTGATATTCGTCAATGAAGAATTCATTCTCAGTTCATAATAAATCGTTCAAAAGTAGCACATTGTAGTCAAGTCAAAATAAATCATATAAAATAAAATGGGGTTAATTAAATTATGATTGTTTATATTCTTGAATTCAAATTAACACAAGGTATATGAAATATAATTTATTTTCTAAAGAATGAATTATATTTCTAAATTAAACGTAGTCTTTTTTGTTGAAAATATTTTTTCATATTGTTATGAATGTTATTATTAATGTTCTTTAAATGGAATTACGTATTTCTCAATTTTTCCTTGACATGAATAATGATAATTTAATGTCATGTTTTGAATAACTTCAAATTTTTGAAATCAGTAATTTAGAATCAAACGTGGAAATTTTTAAGGTATAAAATTCGTAACATTAAATTTACATTAATCGGCTGGAAAAAACGTTTAGTGACCATTTAAGCAACGTGTACCTTTCCATCTCTTCGTATCCAGATGTATTTAAATATTCTGTTCACTTTCCTCTTAGTGACCGCGTGACTGCCTTGTTTCCGCTCTGACAATGTTATACCTGTAAATTCTGTGCGCGACTTTTCAAGCACTATGTATGTTCCGACGCGTCGTTCTATGTGCACGGGAAAACGTATTTAGCCGGTAATGAGCGGCTAGAAGTTTTTGTTATAATTAGGTTGCTACGTCGCTTCCGGTACTCTGCTGTACGAGCACTCGCGGAACTGAGATTTCTTTATCAACCCTCCCTTTTCTCTCTCCTCTCTCTCTCTCTCTCTCTCTCTCTCTCTCTCTCTCTCTCTCTCTCTCTCTCTCTCCCTCCCTCTCGCTCGCTCGCTTGCGGTGCCCTAAAAAAATGTATCACGCGCGTACACCGTGCATACCTCGTGCACGGGAATAAAGATGCACAAGGCGCACGTCGGCTGATGCATATGCACGAGCGCGTTTTACAGAAAGAGAGAGAAAGAGAGAGAATAGTTGATTAGCCCTTTTTCTGACACGCGTCCCGGAAATGTTGCCTTTATTAATCAAGATGAAGAGGAAACTCCGGCACTCCGGCCCTTTCTTTGTCGCAGCAAACAAATTTAGCTTTTCATTATGTTGGATCTTCCGGATTTTTTATCTACTGTATTTATTCATTCTTTTCTTTCGAAATTTTCACCTATCTTCGGAATAGATCAAGAATTAACGTAACTGTTTTTTTCTCCCCCCCCGCCGGAAAAACAGTATTCGTGCATTATTCGAAGAAATTACAAATAGAGGGCAACCTCGGTTTCGGTTCTCGCTTCGGACTTTCGGCAACGTGAGGTCAAATTTACTGCGAGATACTACCGTATCGCAGAGTGCTACTGTCCTAAGGTCCCACGGGTCACCCTGCAAGTAGATAAGTATCTTGGTATAGATTGCATCGCGTGTGTGTTTAAGAAAACTTCTTGTTCCACCGTTTGCCCCCGCTGCCACCCTCCCGGATAAACAAACTTATCTGTCTGATCTGCTCAAGAGTGAAAGAGCGTTTCTTCCATCGGAGCCGAGAGACACCGACGTCGGCGTATCGATCGCGTTCGATCCTGAACGGATGAAGAACAAATACGGTTCTATGCGGACGCATCTCACGGGGTCGGCGTACGTTTAGTGCATTTGCGCGTTAGAAACATTCTCCTTTTCGGCGCGCGATCCTCCCGTCGTATAAATAAAATCTAACAAGGGCATTAGTCGCAGTTGCAGGAGACATCGGGACATCGATATTCCCTCTCGCCACATTCATGCGTTATAAAGCTACACCTGGGCTGGATCATAAAAGTTGCAGGAGGGATCTAAATTTACGAACAAGATCGCACGATCGGCAGACCCCTTTCGTATTATTGAGGCACCGCTGACATTTTCACGTTGTACAGAATGCTGCACATTCTAAAATTATAAACATGAATTATGCGGTTTTTTTTTTAACAGATTTCATATTTTTTAAATTTAGCAGATTTCATATTTTTTTCTTTATTTCGCTTTAAAAATTAATCTGCAATCCTGAATTAATTAGAATTAATTTTAATTATTTTTGAAGAGAAAACTTATACTATCTACGATATTATACTGCTTTTATAAAACGTCTGTAATTTTCATATTCTTCATTGACCTTTTTACAGATAAAATAGCATAAAAAGAAATCACCAACGTTACCTTTATAATTTCATCCACCATAAAACTAGGATGTTTTTTCGATTTGATTTCATGACTTAAGCCTCCGATAGAGATAAAATGTAAAAACTTTGCATTATTTTATCAGAGATCGTTTATATTATTCATTTTCTATGTTTTCATAAATTAACAGTGAGTTATTTTAAGTTTTAATTCATCAAGAAGAATCCGCAATAAATTTTCAATATTCTATTATTGGCCTTAATCGCAAAATATCAATAATGTATCTTAAATTTTTAACAATTAAATATGAGAGTTGTAAAGATATTTTCATAATTATTTTTCTTAGTTATCTCTTTTATCTTAGTTATCAAGTTTGATAATATATATAATATCCTTATCAAGATATAATATCCTTATCAATTCGCTCATGTTTGTATAATTTGCAAAATTCCTCCCACCTTCCCCTCTCTCCCGTATCTATGAGAAGAGAAACGGACGGTCATTTTGTTCCTCGTTCTACCTATTACTGTTCCATAAATTTTCAAGTTTTTCCATTTTTCCGAAGGTAATCAGCGGCGATGCATTCTCCGCCGGGGAATTTTATAAAAAATTTGCGAGCATGGGCTTTATCAGAAATTAGCGGATTATAATTGAATGAGATATCGCACGCTCAGCGTAATAACAATCCGCACCCCCCCCTTAAAGCATAACGATCTATATTTTCGCGGTATCAAGAAATTATCGTCGAAATAATCGTCGGAGGCGCAAACTGCAGGGATCGTTTGAAGCTACCGTGCCTGTTATTAATAATTTAGCAAACGCATCGCTATGCGGTACTCGTGGGAGTACCGCTGGCTAATATCCGGCACGCCGAACAGTGAGTCGGCTCGGCTGCGGCAATATCGCGGAATCAGCGCACGAATTTTCGGTCATCGCTTTATCCCCCTCGCCGTATCTCCGCGCGCGAGTTGCCGCCGCCGTGTACCCCTTTTCCGAATAATCGGCGGGCCTCCTCGCCGAGCGCGGGAGGGTTTTCCGCCGCGTTTGCGGGTCCCACCGCTCCGATACACACACACACACACACACATACACACACACACACACACAGTCCCGTCCCGTCCCCGGCTTCGGAGGAGCTTGCGCCAGTTAGCACGCAGAGAGCCGCGCGCCGCGGCACGGAACACTCCGGGACAGGTTCCCAACGCGATAGCGCGCCGCCGGCCGTCCGCAGTACCGTCGTACGGTTTGCACAAGAACCATCCGTTCTCATCGTTCCTCCATCGGATCATGACACACGGCTCACCTGTCGTCGCACCGTCGTGAAGTCCGCGCGTCCGCGAGTCCTTCCTTCGACTCGCGATCGATCTCGCGTCCAAACGTCTCCGACGACGCGCCCGACGACGTCTCCGTCGGTCGATCTCGACGTCTTCCTCGCTTCCTCTCTTCGATCGATCACGATCCCGCGCCGAGCCGTCTCCCGGAACTCGCGCGAACAGTGAAACGATCGATCGGGCCGATCGATCGCAGGTGATGAACGGAACGGATGTAATCGAACTCGAAACGATGATGCCCGGCTCGGTGATGATCGCGGAAGTCGATCGAAACGTGACGGCTCTCGATGACGATCCTTCTAAGGATGGACGCGAACGCGACGAGGCGCGATAGGGACGAGGGTGCGAACGGTTGCGACGTTGGTTCCACTTCCGGCGATAACGTAGACGCCTCTTAGGACGCGGCTCGGCGATTGAGAATCGATACACGCGCTGCGGTAGAATTATGTGACGATCGTGCTTTTTCCCTCACGCTACTCACGGAATTTCGAGCATCCCTCGAATGAGGGAACGAGCCTCTTCTCGCGCGAAAGGTCTCGAAAAGGTTCGCGTCCAACCTGGTTGAACATCCAGGTTGTTCCCGTGTTAATTATCCGAATTTCCGCGTTAATTATCTTATATCGTCGATGCCGGGTTTGCTTTAATGCGGATTGGTTACCTTAGTCTCGTTACTTTTCCCTAAGTTTACCCTCTCTCCGCGTCGGTTGTTTCATCGTTCGTTAACGGATTAATAAACGCAAAATTAAACGGACGCGGATGAGATCGCGGATTTTAGCGTCCTTAGATACTTTAATCGTGCGTGTGTTCGCGATTACAATTTATTTCCACGTCGATTATTCACCGATTGTTCATTATTCTCGCTATAACCAATATACTACATTTATTTTCGCGTTAATTGTTCGGCGTTTCGCATTGTTAAGCGACGTTTATTTATTGGGTTTATCTTTCTCATTAATTATTTAAATATCATAATTGTTAATTTATATATACATACGCAATTGAATTTTATTATTTATTATCTAATTATTTCTATTATATTATTGTATATCGGTTACAAGTTTTATTTGCGGACTGGTGAATGTTTTTAGAGATTTTAGACAATTGTCAGGAGACAACGAGAGCTTCAAAACTTCGGAAAGACCGAGGGAGAGATACGACTGACCTATACTGACTGACAATACTGAGAATACAGGAAAGTTCAGCGATCATATAACTTCACTTCGTCGAATGTGCTCTCGCAAAGACAATTCCGTGAGTGAGAGGCAAACGGTGGAACTCAAACGTGATTTATTTTTCGTTGCGAGAGTAAAAATATCGATGGAAGAGACTATGTTGCGTGTCGCCTGGTGCTTCATTTGATACAAAATATCAGCGGCGATGGTAACGATATAGTTTAAACAATCCTAGAGACAACAGCAAATAACGGCGGCGTTAATAAATAACGCGTTCGCGAGTGACGTCTGTATATAAATAATAAACAATAAACACCGACGTAAAACTGAGTAATATCTGGTGATCCTGTGGATTAATCGCTGCCGAATATCAGCTGTTAAATTAACCGTGGACAAGGGATTTCATCGCCTCCGAGCGATGTGTTTGTGCGCCTGTGAGCATGTGCGGTTCACTTTATACACGACGGAACGTTTGCAATAAGATTGGACGAGTCAACGCCGGGGTTAAGCATCGCTAATTATCTTAGAGCTGCCGTATAATTGTCGCTAATTAATCAGCGCGACTCTTCACGCTTCTCGCCTCCGCCCTCGTTGGATTCGAGCTGCGAGTTTCACGCTCTCCGCCGTCGCGAGGTGAGTCAAGCTGCGTAAATATCCTTCAACGACCTGGCGACCCGGTGACTTCTTGTTTTTCCGCATTTTCCACCTCCACACTCGTGTGTAGACGTGTTTTAATCGCGTAAGCGAGATCCGACAAACGCATCCAAAATTGTTTTCGCCAAGCTTTCAAATAATAATAAACCGCTCTCGTAAGGGTGAAGGGCCTCGAGTTGATATTGTAATCGAGGGTGTGACAGTATCCGTGTAATCCGATTTTCATAATTCGAAACCGATTTCCTACCGACCGGAAATTCGAAATAATAATAAAGTGAAAAATGTGACGAAAACGCGACACATATGCGAATTTTTATATTAACTTTGTAGACATATGTCTTATTGAAGTATCTAAAAATTTAAATAAAATTTAAACTAAGATAAATACAAATGTGATTTTGTTGAGTTATCAAGTAATCACGTAGAAATTACTTAAATTGGTTACACCAGAATATTCGAAAATTTTATAATGTTACGTTTAGATGTCCTACACAATTACTTTTATAGCCCAGCAAAATTACTTTCAGATCTGTACTCGGTTAAATTTTTAAATACTTTAGCAAAACTTTTTTAAAAATGGAATTTCAAAAACTTTCTTTTCAGACATGAAAACTCTTTTCAGATATGAAAAAGAGGAAAATAAAAATAATAGCTCTCCACTTTGTGCATACATGCGATTGTATTTTTTTACATTTTTCAGTACTAATTGTTTACAGAAAGTAGCTTCGTGTTTTCTAAAAAAAAAAGCGCGATTAGTCAACGTGAAAATTATAAGACAAATGGTTGGAGTCCTAAATATTTCACGGTTGAATGCTAAATCCGTATACAATACCGATACCACTGTGTTATCCGTGTTTTTGAGAACTTTCTTTTCCTCGGCTTCTTGACTTTGCCCGAGTGTGCTTGAATGTAAAGAATCGCGGCGTTTCCTTCGGGTTAACTGCGACGTCTAATCGCACATCTGCCGCCGCATATCGCACTGCAACGGCATCGTCGATTCTTTACATCCACATTTACGTTTACGAGTATGGGGGAGGCACGAAGATAAGCACGGAGTGGACGGCGGCGAGTTTTCGCGACGGGCGCATCCGCGCCTAAAATTTACCGTCGCATTGTGCGTCTCTCTTATCGGCCGTAATAGTTTCGGACTCTGCCTGTCCTCGGTCAATGAAGGGCGAGACACGAGAAACTTTGCCTCCCGAGCAATTTCTCACTCGTGACTATTTCACCGCGCGCATTTCGCAAAGCACGAATCCGCGCTTGCTTTTCTCACTCTTGATATAAAA